GACGAGGCAGCCGAGGTGGACAGCCTGGCGGAGGGCAGCGTGGGCGTGGCAGAGTCTGAGGACAGGTTTGATTGGGCCAGCGATGAGGCGCCCCGTCGCCCCGACAGCCTGAAGGGGATCCAGTCCTTCCAGAGGAGCCACAGTAACCTGGCCAGTCTGGGTCTGGCTTTCCCCGCCCAGAACGGCTCGCTCGCCATCAGCCGCTGGCCCAGCGCCGCCGACAGAGGCTCCATGCCCGAAGATTGGGAGAGCTACACCTACTCACCTGGATACGAGAGGACGCACAGCAAGGCCGAGTCCAACGACAGGTACGCTGTGTCATGACACCATGTCAGTATCAGAAGAGTTCTGGTTCACGTGAGTCTAGCAGCACTCAGCAGGTAACGAGAGCCTGGATCCTATGATCGAGAACCAATCAGCTCACAGATCTATAAGTCTGTGTGCAGTGACCTGCATGATTCTTTAATATAAGGTCATACCAACCTTTAGGCAGTCTACAAGCAGCCACCAGGGGGCGCTCACAGTCTGACCTCCTGTGTTCATACTGGATCTGGTCTCTCTGTGTGTGTCAGGTCCAGCACTGAGGACTGTCTGGTCCTGATCTGCTGTGGACTCTACGACCTGCTGAGGGGGATCCTGCTGCTGCTGCCCGACCTCATGCTGGAGGAGGTGATGGACAAACTCATCCAACCAGAGGCCCTCATCGTCCTCGTCAACCACTCGTCTCCTCTCATCCAGCAGGGCGTCATGAAGGTCGGTGAAACGGGTCGATCTGATCTGTAAATCCTCCAGAATTGTCATGTCTCACTTTCTGATGTTTAACTTCACTTTGACCTCTAATGATGAGGTCACAGGATATCTCCTTTCTCTCTTACATCCCATCATTCTGCTCCTCTCCTCCAGCTGCTGGATGCTTATTTCAGCCGAGCCCAGAAGGAGCAAAAGGAGAAGTTTCTGAAGAACCATGGCTTCTCTCTGCTCGCCAACCAGCTGTACATCCACCAGGGCAGCCAGGGGCTCCTCGAGTGCTTCCTGGAGATGCTGTTTGGACGTCCGGTCGGCCTGGAGGAGGAGTGAGTCCTCACACTTGACACACCTGAACGTCTCCCTCCTCTAAATGAAAAGGTTTCTCTCCTGGATTGACGTTGATTCTTTGTTTTTGTTTTCCAGCCTGGACCTGGAGGAAATGGAGAACATCTCGCCCTTCAGGAAGCGCTGCATCATCCCTGTGTTGGGTCTGATCGAGAACTCTCTGTATGAGAACTCTCTGGTGCACAACATCTTGTGCATGCTGCTGCAGCTCCTCAACGCCTGCCCCAAGCTGGCAGACATCCTGCTGGACCACGGGCTGCTCTACGTGCTCTTCAACACCCTCTCCACGCTCAACGGCATGGAGAACGGGTACAGAGCAGCACTCCTTCAAACAGCTGGATGGACTCATCTCATCACTCTCTGTTTACATTTTCTTTCTTTTCTGCAGAATTCCCCTGAACGACTACAAGCTGCTGGTGTGTGACATCCAGCAGCTAT